TCTGACCAATTCGCAAATTGCATGTCAGTGGTGTCAGAACATGAGAGTTGGTCAAAGCAACAGGTTAAAGACGTTGATACCAGTTATACACTTATCGTAATCAAGTAAATATGCCATCCCAGCCGATCTAGCTTCATAAACAAGGAACCCATTGGGACCAGAGACTGTGCATAGATGATTTAGGGGGCGTAGTCAGCCGAGTGGCTTGGTTCGTATCGTGTCATAATACATCACGACGGCGGGAGACGTTGCCCATACTATCAATCACTGGTTTGTCTGGCCGAGACAGCAACTTGGAACTACAGGGTCTTTTTCTGCAAGCATCGGGGCGGTGAGGTAGCCTAGTGGTTAAAGCTTTCGCTCGTCACGCCGAAGGCCCGGGTTCGATTCCCCACATGGGTTAAGTTCTGAGTCGGAAGCATCGTGCCAAATTGACCTCCAGAAAACAATGCAATATGAAGACGCTTATGACCCATTTGTACAGCCCTGTGGTGACCAATCAAATAGATATATAAGTAAGGATTCGAACACAGCACTGATTGATTCTTGCAGACTGACTTACCGAGTTTGGTTTTACGCTGCTTTTAGCAATATTCCAGCAATATCACGGCGGAGGACACCAGCAATGGGCTTCCCATGTGGGGAATCGAACCCGGGCCTTCGTCGTGACGAGCGAACGCTTAACCACTAAGCTAACCCACAGTCCTATCACTCCATAACATGGGCGTGTGTTGTATCATATGCCTGTGTGCTAAACTCTGCCAAGTACGTTTGTCAATCAACTACTGTCGTTTACTTGTTTACTTGTTTACTGTAAACTCAAACAATAATCCAGTTTACTTTTCCTTTGTTTCCCTATATTCGGGAGTAAACATACTTGTCCCTCTGTATCAGTGCTGATCTCGTCCCAAGCTGGACCTATACCGCTGTATCGCATGCATATAGACAACACTGTGTGACACTTTCATTGCGGGTTGACATATGTCCGTCGCTAGCCTGACATGCTCACAAGATAGCCTCCGCGTCAGCTCTTGAAACGATAGTATCAGCATACTGGAGTGTGTGTGTTCATATCCTGCACTTTTCATTGCGATTATCATGTGCGTTAACATGTGCAATATAGTTACCCAACCTGTCCGCTTACTGCATTCTGCTATACCACACACATCCACGCGTGTATGCATGTCATCCAGTGTTATTGAGAGAAGGTAACATATGCACATAAATACTTTTAACCCAACATGTTTCAGATCACAAATGGTCGGATTTCTCTGCAATTACTGTATCAGCCTAACAATGCTGGCAGGTCGACATGACATATCAGCGAGGGTGTGGAAAACCTGGTCGTTGTAGACACGTAGGCTTTTTTGGAATAAGGTGACTGACTGACTGAGTGAATGCTGCTTTATGTCGCAGCGTCAGTTGCATAGGTATATGCGGCGCCAGGCAACCTCATAGACTGTCGTACAGACCCTGAAGCGAATATATCCAAGAAAGCCCACGCAAGGCTAGAAAATGTGGCAAGTCTGAAAATGAAGAAAGTCTCTGGGCTCCTTATTATATACTGTAAACGTATTATATTTCGCGCAGGTTTTATTTTCGCTCTTTTCGCGCAAAACATTTTAGCGCGAAAATTTATACACCGCGAATAAACCTGTCATTCATTCAGTCTAGCCACGCTCGCCCCTGAGTTGTTACCATAACAGTATATATTTTTTTTTACTGTGAACTTTTTTTTCTATAAAATATGTTCATTTCAGAGACTATATGTTAATCTAGCAACCTCCTAGAATGTGCTTCAGCTATCTGAAGATATAGCCTCAACGTTAGGCAGGCTACGACGTACGCAGCGTTTATCGAACAACATTTGTCCAGGTATAACCAGGTTCATGATGAGTATGCGTGTATATACTAGTGTTGTATTTCTGACACTGGCAGCTGACATACTGTGGGGGGAATATTAATAACAATGATAAAGCCTGCTTTACACCTGGCTGCCCCAGACTCCCTGCCCTGTATTACTACTGGGCTGAAGGCAAATGTTAAACGATGAAAACGCGTAAATGAAATACATAAATCGCCCATGGTCTATGTTTCACCAAAACGTTTCAGGCATAAGGATATATAGATATACCTGTTAAACTACATTTGTTTTGTCCAGTCAATGTGAAAGTATGATGACAAAGGTATATAGACAAGAAACTCGTGTACAAGACCACACCCTTGCCTATGACACCACAAGTGTTCCACGAAATTGGGTTTAACGTCGTGCTTGAGAATATTTCGCTCATATGACGACGTGCATGCGTGTGTATGTGTATGTGCGTCTGATTGTACTAACCCAGACTGAAGCTGGTTTTATAGTGCTAGCCCACTGAGATACCATGCCGCAGTGAAGCATGAATACCCCACTCAGACACATTATACTGACTCCGAGCCGACCAGTCCTTGTTGTACCCATTAATGTGGAACGCCAGGCAGGGACCAACAAGTACCATATTTTAACGTCTTTTGGTATGACGCGGTCGGGGATCGAACCCGCGACCTTCCGCTCTCCGGGCGGACGCTCTAACCACTACACCACAGAGGCGGTCCCCACGTGATAGAACAGTGCAAGATCAGGAAGTACTGAGAGCACATGCAAGACCCGCCATTCCATCCTATAGCCTCATTATGAAAACATATATCATCAAGGTGATCTTCATCCTCGGGATACATCATTTGGAATTTGATTGTAAAACCAAACGACCATAGAGATAACGAGTATAGTTCCCAGAGGAGCAAAACTATATTTATTGCATACAGATTTATTCATACGCCTGCCTGCATACGAAATACGGGGCACGTATAAATCAGGGGACAACATTGAAATATGACCATTGTCACGAGTTACCATAGATCCGAAGTGATCCGATAAAGGCCAGGCGCACTAAATGCAGCTGACACGTCTATAATTGCTATCCAATTCAATCTTCCTGATCCCCATCTGTGTCCGCAAGCATGTAATAACCCTTGCCACGTCATCAATACCCCGCGGGAATGTCGCCACGCAGAGGGGGTTAACCATCATCTCCCCGATTGCTGTATATGCGGCTAATCTGTCACCCTGATGACGTGACAGATCCGCAAGATGTGACCTTCCCACCTTCTGTGTGCTGTCACGTTCTGAGATAGGTAATAATAATAAAGGGGAGTTAATTACACAGGCAATGCAGTATTAGGATTATAATATTTTAATAAATGGAATATTGTATTGCGAAATAACAAAATCAAGTGGCGTTTTTATGTGTATTCTAGCAGTTGAAATAGGAAATACATGTATAAAGAATTAGCATGAATGGTAATTGTACTTATTTTCCATTCTGTGAAAGCCGCGAGCACTGTTTCAAGACTGTGATCCAGGAAGTATACCTCGCTGTCTCTCTCTCCACATAGGATTTAGTAGACTTGAGCAGTCTCTGTTTTATTATAGTAAGTATTGGACTAAAAAAAATAAACATTTGAAAAGTTGATTTGAACATAAAGTCAATTTTTTTCAAAGCGTTAGTTTACTGAAGAACATCATGTCTAAAGACAACTTTCATGACTTTTATACCCGAATAGGAAATACATCTCTCTCGAATAACCATTTCTTGATTTCTACATAAGCATAGTCACAACCTGATGAATGAAAACTTCCTTCTGCTCGGCAGTGTATAATGTTAATAATGCATCAACTAAAGTTAAACAACCAAACGATGAAAATGAAAAATGTCACTATATTGAAACTTATGTGTATTCATGTGTTCTGGGGGCGGTGGGGTAGCCTAGTGGTTAAAGCGTTGCCTCGTCACGCCGAAGACCCGGGTTCGATTCCCCACATGGGTACAATGTGTAAAGCCCATTTCTGGTGTCCCCCGCCGTGATATGGCTCGAATATTGCTAAAAGCGGCGTAAAACTAAACTCACTCACTCACTCATGTGTTCGGAACACACCAAAAAATAATAACAAATATCTATATTTTTAAATTTGTTTTAAGTTTATAAATGAAACGGTGTCGACTTGCCAGTCTACCCATAAATATGAAAGTGAAAATGCACATTTTGAGATTTCGAAAACAAATAATTTCTATAGCAACTGTAAACTTAATAGAGCCCCGGTGAGGTGATAGGTTCAGACATTTTCCTCAACCTTTGACAAATCTGGAGTTACTTCATTTAGGGCTACAACAATGTTAGATGACATCACAGGTTGGGCTCAGTGATACTTAGTGGTATATCTGAATAAAATGTATTTAAAACTAGTCTGGAAACACGTCTATCTAACTGTATGAGATCAGCGTTAATAGTGTGTTTTAGAGATTATGTAATGTGTAGTAAAAGACTTGATACAGTGATTATGTGTCACATGTTGAACGTGAAATGTAATAATACGTCAATAAAATATACATTATCACATTAAGATTCCATCAGGGATCTATGTATATTTATGTGTGTAAACAATGCTAAATATCAGCGTATCAGCTTAGTGGCTGAACATATTGAGGATTCATGTATGAAAATATATATATTTAGCTTGTTTAGCCATGAAATTAATTGCAATATATTCATGTGAATATATTACGCCTATTAAAAATACAAACACATTTTATATATTCATGGTCTTTAAACAAGCATGCAGCTTGGCCATGTTAGATTAAAAATTACAACAAAGTGTTTTTAATAATACTGTACTGTCTATTTAACAGTGTTTACAAGTGGATTTTATTGCGCCTTCTGATTAAACGTAACCATCGACTTTCAAAGAACAGGTGAATAAATAATTGTTCTAGGTAAATCTAGTGAAAAGGTAAAGCATAATTTCTGACTCGTTGTGTGATAACCGAGTCATGCGTGTCAATGTATTTTTTTCATATTGAGATAGCCGCATTTGTCATTCAACAACAATAATTTGCTTATCCGTGGTTCGTTTGGGTCACGTGGTCCATTTTTAGCCAATCAGATAACAACACGCGAGTCATTCCGGATTATACATTTAGCCCGGAACTCGCCGGTGCCACGTTGAGAAGAGTCGATATAACAGTAGACAACGGTACAGTTCAGACCTCTCCTCGCCTTAGTGCAAGCTTCCACGACATGAACACGTTAGTTATTTTATTACTAGGCCTTGTTGCCTATTCTGCAGCTGAGGTTGCTGAAGAAGATGGCGTGTTGGTGCTGACGAAAGAAAATTTTGAAGAGGTTACCACCGAGAACGAATTCGTTTTAGTTGAATTTTGTGAGTATACTATAGGCCCTACAGAACATTATACTGTTATCTCTTTCGTGAGCGTATGTCTACCATGAAGCGTATTTGTCAGCAACATTTACCACGTCTTTTGTCTGTAGCCCTCCATAAAAGGATTTGAGGGACAATTACGTTTTATCAGGTCAGACGACATGTTATCAAAGTCGTCAACAGGTTCCCGTCCTTGAACTCGTTGACGCACGGTTTAGTAGGGGCTGTGGTAATCTCCCATATGGTCAGCTTGAACCAATATTTAAGTCGAACTGACTTCTTGAAATCTCCTTTAAATGGACCCACGCGACCACGGTGTATTCAACACGTGTGCTGCCATGCTAACCAGTTACCTGTGCACTTTGGAGGTGTGTCCAAGTTGACGCAATTCGTCTGCATTGAAACTTAGAGTCTGTATAACGGCTGTTGACAGCTTTTGAATAGCAGTTTCATGTTTATACATTTGTATATAACACATATATTGGTTATGGCTATTTTTGTAACGCACCTATGACCGGTAGAAACTGTAGGTTAACTATTTGTACTATAATACAATAAACTTCTCAACACCTTGTTCATTCATTTACATGGTATGAAGAATAATACTCAGTGCTTTATCCACATTAGCTCTGTTTCAAACTATGGATGTCAGTTCAGTTGTTGCAACTGCCTCTGTGGTTGAGTGGAAACAGTGTTTGCCAAGATCAAATAGGTTGGTGGTTCAATCCCCACCACTTGGCATCAACAGGATAAAACAAGGAGGGGTGGCCCGGAGTTAGTGTACTGGGCCTGATGTGGAGTATCTGGGATGGAGAGGGCGAGACCATAGTTTTAATCCACTCTATTGATTTGGTATTGACATATCTCGGCTTATGTATTGATTTAGCTGTAAAGATATAGGATGCAATGATCTAGGCTGATAATGTTATAATAAGGTTGAGAGCTGTAGGATTAGTATAGTACAGATGTTACCATGTTTGCTGTAAAATGCAAAGTTGAAATTTGAGAATGATAATCACATTTGTAACTGTTAAAGAATACACATATTTTACTGCCATCTATGTGTTTCTACCCCTTCAGAAATGTAAACAGTAACATATCCCTGGCATCATTACTCTTATAAAAGTATTTTATGAAACTTTATTTAATTTAAGATAAAGTAATGAAATGATGTAGTGTACTATACATAGTCATACCATATAGTAGTGTTGGGAATTGGTTGAAATTGGAACACCACTACTATATAGTGCCTGCGGTATGAACTGATCTTGTGCACCATCGTGATTGGTGGATGAAATGGACACATAATGGTATAAATGCATAAACCTTGAACATGTTAACCCCATTTCATCTCTTCTGCTGTCTGTCTCTTAAACATGTTAAATGCTGATATATTTTGATACAAATGTTGATGTACTTACACTTTTGAAGAGTTCAATGAGTGACCTTCATTTCAGATGCCCCATGGTGCGGACACTGCAAGGCTCTTGCCCCAGAATATGCAACGGCTGCCAAGACTCTGGCCTCTGAAGGCTCTGGAATTAAACTGGGAAAAGTTGATGCCACAGTTGAATCTGATCTGGCCCGAGAAGTATGAAGTACGTGGCTACCCCACGATCAAGTTCATGCGTAAAGGAAAGGCTACTGAATATGCTGGTATGTATTTTAGATAGGACAATAGTTAACTTTTCACTCGATAAATGAAACTATACTCTATATCAGTATTTTCATACACATTGTGCAAGTAAAAGTTTTGTCATGGAATTAGTTTGATGTTTGTACTGCGAACCTGCTTGTACAAACCTGCTATTATGTTCATACTGTGTTGAAATAGTAAGATAGCCTTGTTGGACCTCATTAAGATTTCATCAACTTCATTTTTTAGAAAATAAGACGTCATAACCATTGACTTTGAATAAACTATGAGTATTTGTAGGCAGTTCACAAAGATGACCGAGATAAATCTGTGTTTACAACAAGCTGGTCCTGATATACAACTAAGGATTGCAGTTCTGTACAACACAGATTACTATGTTCCTGTGTTCTATGCTTGTGTTAATAAGTGTAAGGTCTTGAAAGAATACTTGAGTTTGCTCTTTACTAACAAGCGTGCTATATTCTCCAGGTGGAAGAACAGCAAGTGATATTGTGAACTGGCTCAAGAAGAAGACCGGTCCCCCAGCCACTCCTCTGAAGTCAGCTGATGACAGCAAGGCATTCATTGAGGCAGCAGAGGTTGCTGTCGTTGGATTCTTCAAGGTGCGATGTAGTCCTGACTGTTCATAGTTCAATTTTAGCATGTCATGAATGTAATGGATTGTTGTTGTGCAAGTTGGTGTGATTTTTGTGAAGTAACAAGATTATCAGAGTTCATAACAATACCTTTGTGAAAATGACAGGGAATTAGAATTGTGAATTATGTGTTTGCTTAATAAAGACTTGTGGGTGAAGGTTCGAAGGTACTGAGACCCCTGAAGGTCCATATTAGAATGAATCTTCACTAACCCATGCTTGTTGTAAGAGGCGACTAACCGGATCGGGTAGTCAGGTTTGCTGGCTTGATTGACACATGTCATCAGTTCCCATTTGCGCAGATCGATGCTCATGCTGTTGTTCACTGGATTGTCTTGTCCAGTCTTGATTAATTACAGACTGTCACCATATAGCTGGAATATTGCTGCGTGCGGCGTAAAACTAAAACTCCACTCACTCATTCGAAGGTACTGAATGCCTAGCTCTAGTGGCCGTTCATGGTGTTAGATCCAACTCGCTCACTGGTCTGAATCCCCATTGGGTTTTCATGAATGAAACCCATTCTTTACTACTGGCTGTGATGATGCTTACACAATATAGTTGGACCATTCTCATGTTTTATAGGGTTCATTTTTTAATGTTTTCCCCTCAACAGGACCAGGAGTCCGATGCTGCAAAGGCTTTCCTTGAGGCTGCTGGCGGTATTGACGACATTCCATTCGGTATCACCTCCGACGATGCTGTATTCAAGGATAACAAAGTTGACAAGGATTCCATCATTCTGTTCAAAAAGGTACATTTACATTGGCCCTCTTCAATTCAGATCCAACAGATTTCAATCCAGCTTTCGGTTTCACTTAACTCCGATGTCTTGCTTTCTGTATCATGCTAGGACAGCGCTAAAGAGTTGTCAGATGATTTGAATGTCTGATTGAAATGAAGGATTTATAGTTTGTTGAGCCCAGAAGACATTATGTTCCAAAATGATTCCACTTTCCTTTCATTATTGTTTTGAATTGACAATTGATTACAAATGAAAACCACACAACCCAAATATTTGCTTCTTAGAATGTTCAGCTGTCTGAACCTCCTACTGAAGTATGCTCAGGTCTTCAGACGTATCATATCAAGAGTAAAATATCGATTTTAGTCATATTTAGGCAGAAATGATCCACTGGCTCTGGTGGTTTTGCTTTATATTACACTTTCAAATTTGTGATGTGAGTGGAATTGCAATGCTCTGGCCAGTTGTAAAAATTGGGGGTCTGGGTATGTACAAAGACCAGTTGTTGAGCTTATGACAGGCTGTTTCAGTGTTCAAACATTGTGCCATATTTGTTTTACACCATCTGTGACTAACTTGTTTGTTCCTGTACTATAACGTTGACTAACTTAAAGGATTATTCAGTGAACAGCTAATGAAACATTGGTCCATGATCAATGGTAACTGTGGTTGTGATGTGTTGTGCGTCGTACACTACTTTTGAGCAAGTACAATGCAATATCTAAATGTTCTATATTTTACTGTTTTCAGTTTGATGAAGGCAAGAATGTGTTTGATGGTGACTTCAAAGCTGATGATATAGCAACATTTATATCTGGAAACCGTTTGCCACTGGTTGTCGAGTTCACCCAGGAGGTAAGTTGAAACACATTGGGCTAGCCAGTATCAAGATAAGACCTGTCCAATATTGGGTGTTGGCTGAGTAGAGGAACTTCCATGTCATGGTAATTGTTACATGCTTGTGACTGTGTTGTAAAATGTGATCGTAGTGTAAGGCTTTCGTTTTAAGAACTGTTTGATTTGAGTGGAAACTTAGATTTGTCATGTAGTGGTAGCTTCACGATGGAACACAGAAGTGCTTTTTCATATGATCCTGCTAATGGTCTTATGTTTAGCTAACTGAAACACTAGGTCGCATAAAGAAATACAACGTTAAAGATGACAACTGTTTGCAACAACATTTCAGGGTGAATGAGATCTAGCTCAGTGCCTGGACAGCCTCTGCTTCAGCTAAACACATGGTATCTGAGCAATGTCAGACCTTTATTGTCAATTCCAGTCTGCCCAGAAGATCTTCGGCGGGGAGGTGAAGAATCACATTCTGCTGTTCATGGACAAGGGAGAGGGTTTCGATGAGAAGGTTGAAATTTTCAAGTCTGTTGCCAAGGATTTCAAGGGAAAGGTGAGATCACTTCATTGATTAGTTTTGAATTAGGTATGAAGATTGTTAAATTTGAAATGTTAATCCTTAGACACTCATGTACCAGTGTAAATCAGTGGTGTGTGTGGGCCTGTGGCCGTCATATGGAATAAACCATACGCTATGAAACTTGTCTTGCATTTCAAAATTCTGAACTATTCACTATATTAACACATGAACATGTCAATCAAAAAGAGATTTGCAGTTGTTCTTTTATTTCCACTGTGGCCTGCACATTGCTGCGTTGCTTCATCCTGAGAAATGGTAGCTTGATACTGACACGTTGTCTTGACACTGACGCGTTGTATCTGATCACAGGTACTGTTTATCACCATTGATACCACCACCGAGGACAACGCCAGGATCCTGGAATTCTTCGGTCTGAAGAAGGAGGAGACGCCTGCCATCCGCCTCATCTCACTCAAGGAAGACATGACAAAGTTCAGACCCCCCGTCTGATGAAATTACCGAGGAATCAGTTCGATCATTTGTCCAGTCATTTGTTGATGGAAAATTGAAGGTATGAGCAAATATTCTCGTGACTTGTTGGATATAATTTCATACTTTGTGTTTAGATGAATGGAGTTCAGTCATACCTAGAATGATACATTTCCTCAACACAACATTAGTGTTATGTCATAGAATCATAGTAGTTGCCAACTCAGTGGAATCTTTAGTGAGTTAGGGTCAGGATACATATATGGATACATCCTACTTGAAAGATGTTGAGGGGCATCAGATATTCTCATGACTTAGTTAATTTGTGTTGACATAGGTTAGTGATATGGATGAATTGTTTGTGAAGTTTGTGCGAGCCTTATGCATTGTTCATGTTCTGTCTACGTCAGATGGATCCTATCTGGGATGTTGTACAAGATAAATGTATCCTGAAAATTAGAATCTTCTGTCTTAAACTCGGGTTACTGAGGTTCCTGTATTGTTTCAGCCCCACCTGATGTCAGAGGAAGTTCCTTCGGACTGGGACGCCAAGCCAGTTAAGGTTCTTGTTGGCAAAAACTTCGCAGAAGTTGCACGTAACCAAGAAAAGGATGTTTTTGTTGAATTTTGTAAGTATCACATGCGCCTAATGTTGTACCAGTTGATCTAACTGCCAATGAACTGCTTTGCTGGGTTGATTAATATTGTTTGTATGGATGCAGTTTATCCTCATAGCTATAGAACCGATTTAGTGGGAGTACTGACGAGGCTGGCATCTATCTTTCAGATGCCCCATGGTGCGGCCACTGTAAGCAGCTGGCTCCCATCTGGGACGAACTTGGCGAAAAGTTTAAGGACAATGACAAGATCGTTGTTGCCAAGATGGATTCTACAGCAAATGAATTGGAAGATGTAAAAATTCAAAGCTTCCCAACATTAAAGTTTTTCCCAGCTGGAAGTGATCAGGTAAGTTAATTGATCATTGAATGATATGTGGAAATCTTAATGGTCAAATTGTAGGACTGACTAGATACCGAGTCTGAATTCTTCCATGATTTGTCTTTGATTATATTGTTTGTATCTGCTGATAGAGCTGTAAATGAGTTTGTGGTGATGTACATAATGTTAAACAGTAAAGAGTATTTCAGCACATATGGTGTGACTAGCTTATGTGGTTAAATAAATGACTAAGTTCAGTATTGCAGTAAATAAAGCATGATTTTCAGAAAATAAGTTGTCAACTTGTTTACTTTCTGAAGTGATATGCAACAATATTTTTATCTTTCCAGATAATTGACTACAATGGAGAACGAACATTAGAAGGTTTCAGCAAGTTTTTGGAAAGTGGTGGCAAGGAAGGTGCTGGACCTGCTGATGAGGTGAGTGGAGTCAGCAGTGTGCTTCATGGCGCCAACTTGTTTATAGGACTCTAACTTACATGTGTCTGTGAACAGTAAACTCATCACATCAAGACAGTAAGGGATTTCAGTGTAGATGATAATTCTTTTTAGGGGACAGCACATTATACATGGAGATTCATACAAAGAGCTGTTGGGTAGCCCAGAAGTTTTTTGTCAGGATCGTTTCTCGGATTGTACTGTCTTTCTGGATATGAGTATGGTTTTTCGCTGCTTTTAGCAGTATTCCATTCATGTCACGGTGATTGACACCAGATATGGGCTTTACACATTGTGCCAATGTGGGGAATAAAAGCCTGGTTTTCAGCTTGACAAGCCAGCACTTAAACACTGGGCTACCCCGACGCCCTTCTTGATAAGAATGTAAGTGAAAGTGTGGTCAGCATGTTTGTGAGTGTCATTCCTTCTTGTTGCAGGAGGCAGAGGAGGAGGAGGAAGAAGAGGAGGGGGAAGATGATGGCCAGGACCACGACGAACTTTAATCTGTGTGCAAATTAGGTTCATTATTCTCAGTGGCGGGAGAGAACACTCACGTTAGCTAAGATATCATCTCATAAATACCATCGATGTCATCTTCCATTATCATCTACTCCATGGCTGCAGTGTCGGCGTATCCAGCATTGTACATGATCTAAGTTAAGAGCCCCTGCCGCAGGTCTGCACTATGTGTGGTGGCGAGTGGGTGGGCAGTGATCAGTTCTGAACTCTGTTGTTGGTGCAAGGGTGAAAGTGTCTACCATGTGTGAATTAGCATTTAAGGAACATTCCTTAACTTAAAACGTTTTTGTTTCTGAGAAGTGTCGTGAAGTTTTATTTTGCCAGGGGACAGTTATCAGGGAGAACTTTCTCACAAAAGGATTTTTTAGAAAACTATTAACTTATAGTTTGTCTTATGTTTTAGAGACCTTTTACTCGCTTTGTCTCATGGAAGGCTTTGTAAATATTTTTTGTTAGATTCTTAAGAGAGGTCTGGGGGTGTACCATTGCCTCTTGTGAAAACCTTGTTGAGTTGTGCCAGTTAACCGAAGTCTTGTTACTTACTTTGTGAAATCAAGTCATAATAGCTTATAAGTTATTTGAAAATCTGAAAATATAGGTCTTGCTACAGTTTGTACGAACCATCCATCTTTAAATTTATTAACACATGCTCATCTTTTTGTATAATTAAGATGGAAATAAAAAAAGTAAATTAACTGTGCCATGTTCTGATTTAATCGTCAACATCTGTATCCAGCAAACCATTCATCCATGTTACATTTCACCTGGATGTTGAAAGCTTGTCATGTGTGGAGTTCAGTTACCCTTGAAAGCATCTGTTTAGACAAGGTTGGTGGTTGTCATACAGGATGAATGGTACTTGTTGTTGCCCTGACTGCTGCTCGGCCTCAAGGAGATGAAACAAGAACCGATCAGCTCAGTCTTGGCACTGATGTTACAGCTGCTATCTCAGTGAACTGGCATTTTCCCTGACACAAGCAAACATTCATTCTCACACAGCACATACAGGTGTAATGTTGTTAATCTTTTTTAAGATGATGTCTTGCATTGCATCTGAAGATGCACAGCAACCATGTCAGGAACGATTGAATCCATCTTACCCTCCCTGTACAATGTTTGAATCCACAGTTTACCCTCGGTCTGCCATGATACCTGTGCTTTCACTGTAAAGTTAGGGGTTTCCATCACATTGACATGCTGAATGATCAGGTATACAATGACGCTGTTGGAAAGGAGCCATTACCATTATGCATGAAAGATCCCGTTATAATGGTACAGAGCGCGGACCAGTTTAATGTGCAACAGCCAGTAGGTGTGGTTCAAAGTGCAGATTGTCAATGTTGAACACACTAACCATTGTTTCAACCAAGAATAGAATTCAGTATTGTCTGTGGATGGAAGCGTAAGTGAGGGAACACCCGGACAATAATAACATACACTGGCTTTTTATGATAGACAATGAAAATCTGGAAACATGAAAAAGATCATTCAGAACAATGCAAAACAGACCCTCCAACTCCATCGGCCAAACAGAAATACTCCTCTGTTAGTGCATTCTCTTCCCACATATACGGCCCTGTTCTAATACGGCCCTTTCATGGTGCGAGTGTTCAGGATTCATGATTGGTTGCAATCAGATTTAGTTGTGCAATCAGTGACGTTTCAAAAGTGATCATTTGCAAGGTCTCGGTAATTTCCGTATGCTTCGGGAAAACTAGAACCTCTTCCCCTGCGCGATGCGCAAAGGTTTCTTCTCAACATAACTCAGTGATGTAATAGCAGATCAATGGCGTCTCAATCGCCCTCGTTGACAAGCTAGCTATTAAATGCCTTGTGTGTCACATCAACACAAGTCCCCGACAGAGAGGGATATTTGTGGCCCCACATTTGCTTGTATTTGTCAAGTTGGATCTAAGTCGATGTAACGTGTTCTGATTGGATAGAAAGAAAGGAGATAATTCGTGTTGCGATTTTTTGCCGCTAGGGGATTTTACGGCCATATTAGAACAGAGGTTCGTAGGAAGATATGACAAGTAACCTCTGGGAAGAGAATGCTGTTGGTGAGAATGGCCTAAGTTTAGGAACACATGCATCATAAAATCACTAGGATAGTCAATCAAATGCCACAAAAGCATTTGCCATCAATTTCATTTATTTTCTAATGAACACTTTATGCAATGAAAGCAACATTGTTTTTTCTTAATCATACATACATTCTGAATCATGAATGGCAACAAAATGCACAAAGAATTTCAAATATATTCATCAGTTACAAACATACAGACCTGCATTTTTCTCTTTTACAAAATACTTTCTGATGTAATCAATTACTGGATATGAAATATAATATATGGTTAACAATATTCACTCAGTTTGAGAAGACAACTGAAAACCCTGTGATAATACCAATATCAATATTAATGGTAGCATCAAATGCTCAGAAAGACTAAGGTCTTGTATAAACGCCATTCTGGTTCTGGAGACTGGTAAGATTATTGCACAATATCCAGGAGTGACCACTGACATCCTTAGTAGGCCAGAACGTGTAAATGTACACCACAGTCACTGTGGCAATTGTACTGTACCTGGAACAGGCAAACCACTCTGAGCATCAAACTTGACAATCTGTGTACAAATAAGTGATCTCAGGTGATGGCTGACAGTGCTGTATCACTTCCTAATGCAGCCATTATGGTTAGAAAGGGTTCTCATCTTCACTTTTGGCACTCGTCTATGCAAAAGACAACTCTGTGATTGATTGATTGACTGAGTTTAGTTTAATGCCACACTCAGCAATATTAAAGCTATATGTAAATACATGTAATAGAGTCTGGACCAGACAATCCAGTGATCAACCGCACAAGCATGGATCTACGCAACTGGGATATGATGACATGTGTCAACCAAGTCAGTAAGCCTGACCACCCGATCCCGTTAGTCACCTCTTACAGAACTCTGTGATGCTGAGAAGCATGTCCATGATTTGCCCAGCTAATCCACCGTTACAAATCACTGCTTGATGCAACCTTAGTTTCCCTGGGAGGTCCTCCATACTGAATAAGAGCTCTTTAACTAGTGTTGAAGATGGCCACAGCAGCAGTGAGGTAGAATAGCAAGTGTTGACGCCACAGCTGACAATGATTGTGTTGTGGACTCAGGTAGCGAGTTGTTGACTGTAGATGTGACTACACCATGGATGACTAGGTGAGTTGGACTAAGAAGTAGCGTGGTGGTGAGGGCCTGACTTGACAACAAGAGGGTTGGAGAGACGGAATATACTTGGCAGCATACTGCTGATGTTGGTGAACATTTCCTCCGACAAGCCCTGAAACCACAACAAGTTATGTCTCAAATCTTGCATGTATGCATGTAGCTCATCATAGTATACACCCAGTACATCACTTACCCTGCACATCACCACCCTGTACGTCACCACCCTGTACATCACCAACCTGTACATCACATCCCTGTACATCACCTCCCTGTACATCACTTGCCCTGTACATCACTTACCCTGCACATCATCACCCTGTACATCAACACCCTGTACATCATCACCCTGCACATCACCACCCTGTACATCACCTCCCTGTACATCAACACCCTGAACATCACCTCCCTGTACATCACCACCCTGTCCATCATCTCCCAGTACATCACCTCCCTGTACATCACCACCCTGTACATCACCTCCTTGTATGTCATCACCCAGTACATCACCACCCAGTACATCACCTCCCTGTACATCACCACCCTGTACACCACCACCTAGTACATCACCTCCCTGTACATCACCACCCTGTACATCACCTCCCTGTACGTCATCACCCAGTACATCACCTCCCTGTACATCACCACCCTGTACATCACTTGCCCTGTACATCACTTACCCTGCACATCATCACCCTGTACATCAACACCCTGTACATCATCACCCTGCACATCACCACCCTGTACATCACCTCTTGCATGTATGCATGTAGCTCATCATAGTATACACCCAGTACATCACTTACCCTGCACATCACCACCCTGTACGTCACCACCCTGTACATCACCACCTAGTACATCACCTCCCTGTACATCACCACCCTGTACATCACCTCCCTGTACGTCATCACCCAGTACATCACCTCCCTGTACATCACTTGCCCTGTACATCACTTACCCTGCACATCATCACCCTGTACATCAACACCCTGTACATCATCACCCTGCACATCACCACCCTGTACATCATCACCCTGTACATCACCACCCAGTACATCACCTCCCTGTACATCACCTCCCTGTACATCATCACCCAGTACATCACCACCCAGTACATCGACTCCCTGTACATCACCTCCCTGTACATCACCACCCTGTACATCACCACCCAGTTCACCACCACCCTGTACATCACCAGCCAGCACATCACCACCCAGTACATCACCACCCTGTACATCACCACCCAGTACATCACCACCCAGTACATCATCTCCCAGTACATCACCTCCCTGTACATCACCACCCTGTACATCACCTCCTTGTATGTCATCACCCAGTACATCACCACCCAGTACATCACCTCCCTGTACATCACCACCCTGTACACCACCACCTAGTACATCACCTCCCTGTACATCACCACCCTGTACATCACCTCCCTGTACGTCATCACCCAGTACATCACCTCCCTGTACATCACCACCCTGTACATCACTTGCCCTGTACATCACTTACCCTGCACATCATCACCCTGTACATCAACACCCTGTACATCATCACCCTGCACATCACCACCCTGTACATCACCTCTTGCATGTATGCATGTAGCTCATCATAGTATACACCCAGTACATCACTTACCCTGCACATCACCACCCCCTGTGCCGGCCACCACCCTGTACATCACCACCTAGTACATCACCTCCTGTACATCACCACCCTGTACATCACCTCCCTGTATCGCCATCACCCAGTACATCACCTCCTGTACATCACTTGCCCTGTACATCACTTACCCTGCACATCATCACCCTGTACATCAACACCCTGTACATCATCACCCTGCACATCACCACCCTGTACATCATCACCCTGTACATCACCACCCAGTACATCACCTCCCTGTACATCACCTCCCTGTACATCATCACCCAGTACATCACCACCCAGTACATCGACTCTCTGTACATCACCTCCCTGTACATCACCACCCTGTACATCACCACCCAGTTCACCACCACCCTGTACATCACCAGCCAGCACATCATCACCCAGTACATCACCACCCTGTACATCACCACCCAGTACATCACCACCCAGTACATCACCACCCAGAACATCACCTCCCTGTACATCACCACCCTGTACATCACCACCCTGTACATCACCACCCAGTACATCACCACCCTGTACATCACCACCCAGTACATCACCACTCAGTACATCACCTCCCTGTACATCACCACCCTGTACATCACCACCCAGTTCATCACCACCCAGTACATCACCACCCTGTACATCACCACCCTGTACATCACCACCCAGTTCATCACCCACCAGTACATCACCACCCTGTACATCACCACCCAGTACATCACCACCCTGTACATCACCACCCAGTTCATCACCACCCTGTACATCACCACCCAGTACATCACCTCCCAGTACGTCACCACCCAGTACATCACCACCCAGTAAATCACCACCCAGTACATCACCACCCAGTACATCACCTCCCTGTACATCACCACCCAGTATATCACCTCCCTGTACATCACCTCCCTGTACATCACCACCCTGTACATCACCACCCTGTACATCACCTCCCTATACATCAACACCCAGTAAATCACCACCCTGTACATCACCACCCTGTACATCACCACCCAGTTCACCACCACCTAGTACATCACCACCCTGTACATCACCACCCAGTACATCACCTCCCTGTACATCACCTCCCTGTACATCACCACCCTGTACATCACCACCAAGTACATCACCTCCCAGTATATCACCTCCCTGTACATCACCTCCCTGTACATCACCACCCTGTACATCACCACCCTGTACATCACCTCCCAGTACATCACTTCCCTGTACATCACCTCCCAGTACATCACCTCCCTGTACATCACCACCCTGTACATCACCACCCAGTTCACCACCACCTAGTACATCACCACCAAGAACATCACCAGCCAGCACATCACCACCCAGTACATCACCACCCTGTACATCACCACCCAGTACATCACCACCCAGTACATCACCACCCAGAACATCACCTCCCTGTACATCACCACCCTGTACATCACCACCCTGTACATCACCACCCTGTACATCACCACCCTGTACATCACCACCTAGTACATCACCACCCAGTACATCACCACCCAGTACATCACCACCCAGTACATCAAGTACATCACCACCCAGTACATCACCACCCAGTACATCACCACCCAGTTCATCACCATCCAGTACATCACCTCCCTGTACGTCACCACCCCGGTACATCACCACCCTGTAAGTCGTCACCACCAAGTACATCACCACCCAGTTCATCACCATCCAGTACATCACCTACCTGGGGGACCAGGAACTGGATTGTGCGGGACTGCTGACTGCTGTAGGTGGCCATCTCAATCATGAATCCCTTGACACACTTGAACAGCAGCTCTGCCCGCTTCATGCACCATGGTATAGTCATCTCCTGTAGATGACAAGGCACAGATGTGTGGAGGCCGACACAGGACATGTGAGTGAGTACTTTTATAGCAGTTCTTTGACCAGTATTTCAGTTGTATCATTCAGAAGGACGAATGCATGAATCGAAGCAGGTCTTGGGTGACTGCCTGTTTGGTGAAAGGGCTGATGGACCAATGATCATAATCGGCACAATTCTGGGATTCAAACACAACATCACAGCATCTTGGTACAACACAGTGAATAGTGGCACAGTTGATAAATGTTCATAAAACAGTCAAGGGGAGGTAATTTGAAATTTGCAGTATTCATTATTTTTTGTAACCTTATTATGCAGACATCACCATGTGGTTTGTGATGTTTTGTTTGAGTCCATCGCAGAGCTGTGTGTGCTGGGGGTAAGGATGGAACTACTGATCCAACTATCAACTCCACACAGATGTTTCTGGCCCAGCAACAATACAGATGCACTCAAAAAGTGTAGCTCTCAAAATACTGAGCACATCATACTTAAAGTGAAACTAAAAATGAGTTCTTGAAAAGGACATTTTTGGCCCTGTCTATTTGTTTAAAAGAGTAAAACTTTGCAATGAAGTGACAAATGTTCGTTTTCCTTGCTGCTGCATATTGAAAGAATCTCTGTCCAATGGCAGATACGTTCATGTGCAGAATAAAGAGAATGAGGTGAGGTGAGGTGAAATTGGGTTTAATGTTGTGCTTGAGAATATTTCGCTCATATGATGACGTGCATGCGTGTCTATGTGCGCCTGCTTGTACTAGCCGGTTTTATAGTGCTAGCCCACTGAGATACCATGAAGCTGTGAAGCATGAATACCCCACTCAGACACATTACACTGACTCCGAGCCGACCAGTCCTTATTGTACCCATTAATGCCGAGCGCCAGGCAGGGACCAACAAGTACCATATTTTAACATCTTTTGGTATGAACGGTTGGGGATCGAACCCGCGACCTTCCGCTCTCTGGGCGGACGCTCTAACCACTACACCACGGAGGCGGTCATATTGAGAATGAGGGTAAATATGGCTTTCAGCAACAGGGGACACCTGGAATAGACTACAATCATTGCACCCTTGTAGAGAACTGATCCCTGGCTTTGGCCTGACATGTAAGCGACCGTAATTTATGGCTAGAGGGGGGTGATGATGATTTTTATGGAGAATCATGTACAATGTGAATGACCCCCCTAAAATTGATGTACAAAATAAGTGACCCCTCTGCATGTCATGTACAAAATCAGATATATCATCAGTGTGTACCAGTGAGGGTGTTATGTACAAAATCAGATATATCATGGGCAAGGAGGAACAGTATAGTGAGAGTGTGGAGGAGACATCACACCTTACATATATCATGGGCAAGGAGGAACAGTATAGTGAGGGTGTGGAGGAGACCTCACACCTTACATATATCATGGGCAAGGAGGAACAGTATAGTGAGGGTGTGGAGGAGACCTCACACCTTACATATATCATGGGCAAGGAGGAACAGTATAGTGAGGGGTGTGGAGGAGACATCACACCTTACTCATGGGCAAGGAGGAACAGTATAGTGAGGGTGTGGAGGGACATCACACCTTACATATATCATGGGCAAGGAGGAACAGTATAGTGAGGGTGTGGAGGAGACATCACACCTTACATATATCATATAGGAGGAACAGTATAGTGGGGGTGTGGAGGAGACATCACACCTTACATATATCATGGGCAGGAGGAACAGTGGGGGTGTGGAGGAGACATCACACCTTACATATATCAGTGAGGGTGTGGAGGAGACATCACACCTTACATATATCATATAGGAGGAACAGTATAGTGGGGGTGTGGGACATCACACCTTACATATAAGGAGGAACAGACATAGTGATAGTGGGGTGTGGAGGAGACATCACACCTTACATATATCATGGGCAAGGAGGAACAGTATAGTGAGGGGTGTGGAGGAGACATACACCTTACATATATCATGGGCAAGGAGGAACAGTATAGTGAGGGTGTGGAGGAGACATCACACCTTACATATATCATGGGCAAGGAGGAACAGTATAGTGGGGGTGTGGAGGAGACATCACACCTTACATATATCATGGGCAAGGAGGAACAGTATAGTGGGGGTGTGGAGGAGACATCACACCTTACATATATCATGGGCAAGGAGGAACAGTATAGTGGGGGTGTGGAGGAGACATCACACCTTACATATATCATGGGCAAGGAGGAACAGTATAGTGAGGGTGTGGAGGAGACATCACACCTTACATATATCATGGGCAAGGAGGAACAGTATAGTGAGGGTGTGGAGGAGACATCACACCTTACATATATCATGGGCAAGGAGGAACAGTATAGTGAGGGTGTGGAGGAGACATCACACCTTACATATATCATGGGCAAGGAGGAACAGTATAGTGAGGGTGTGGAGGAGACATCACACCTTACATATATCATGGGCAAGGAGGAACAGTATAGTGAGGGTGTGGAAGAGACATCACACCTTACATATATCATGGGCAAGGAGGAACAGTATAGTGAGGGTGTGGAGGAGACATCACACCTTACATATATCATGGGCAAGGAGGAACAGTATAGTGAGGGGTGTGGAGGAGACCTCACACCTTACATATATCATGGGCAAGGAGGAACAGTATAGTGAGGGTGTGGAGGAGACCTCACACCTTACATATATCATGGGCAAGGAGGAACAGTATAGTGAGGGTGTGGAGGAGACCTCACACCTTACATATATCATGGGCAAGGAGGAACAGTATAGTGGGGGTGTGGAGGAGACATCACACCTTACATATATCATGGGCAAGGAGGAACAGTATAGTGGGGGTGTGGAGGAGACATCACACCTTACATATATCATGGGCAAGGAGGAACAGTATAGTGAGGGTGTGGAGGAGACATCACACCTTACATATATCATGGGCAAGGAGGAACAGTATAGTGAGGGTGTGGAGGAGACATCACACCTTACATATATCATGGGCAAGGAGGAACAGTATAGTGAGGGTGTGGAGGAGACATCACACCTTACATATATCATGGGCAAGGAGGAACAGTATAGTGAGGGGTGTGGAAGGAGACATCACACCTTACATATATCATGGGCAAGGAGGAACAGTATAGTGAGGGTGTGGAGGAGACATCACACCTTACATATATCATGGGCAAGGAGGAACAGTATAGTGAGGGTGTGGAGGAGACCTCACACCTTACATATATCATGGGCAAGGAGGAACAGTATAGTGAGGGTGTGGAGGAGACCTCACACCTTACATATATCATGGGCAAGGAGGAACAGTATAGTGAGGGTGTGGAGGAGACCTCACACCTTACATATATCATGGGCAAGGAGGAACAGTATAGTGAGGGTGTGGAGGAGACCTCACACCTTACATATATCATGGGCAAGGAGGAACAGTATAGTGAGGGTGTGGAGGAGACCTCACACCTTACATATATCATGGGCAAGGAGGAACAGTATGGTGAGGGTGTGGAGGAGACCTCACACCTTACATATATCATGGGCAAGGAGGAACAGTATGGTGAGGGTGTGGAGGAGACCTCACACCTTACATATATCATGGGCAAGGAGGAACAGTATAGTGAGGGTGTGGAGGAGACATCACACCTTACATATATCATGGGCAAGGAGGAACAGTATAGTGAGGGTGTGGAGGAGACCTCACACCTTACATATATCATGGGCAAGGAGGAACAGTATAGTGAGGGTGTGGAGGAGACCTCACACCTTACATATATCATGGGCAAGGAGGAACAGTATAGTGAGGGTGTGGAGGAGACATCACACCTTACATATATCATGGGCAAGGAGGAACAGTATAGTGAGGGTGTGGAGGAGACATCACACCTTACATATATCATGGACTAGGTGGAGCAGTATAGTGGGGGTGTGGAGGAGACCTCACACCTTACATATATCATGGACTAGGTGGAGCAGTATAGTGGGGGTGTGGAGGAGACCTCACACCTTACATATATCATGGACTAGGTGGAGCAGTATAGTGGGGGTGTGGAGGAGACATCACACCTTACATATATCATGGACTAGGTGGAGCAGTATAGTGAGGGCGTTGTGCAGACAACTCACCTCAGACATCTCATGGGCAAGTAGGAGTGGTATAGTGAGGGTGTCGATGTTGTGGCGGAAGCACAGTTTGATGATGTTCCTGATGCTGAGGATGACGGGGTGCCGAGATGTTATATCGGTGGAGCGTACACTATCATCACACACAAGGTGAAACGCTGTGTGAACTTCAGACAGGTTGGAATGCTTAGTGATGTACACATCCCCCATCTGCAGCTTATTGCCCAGCATCTTGTCCTGAACAAACAATACAAACAGGGTCAGTGTCCACGGCAGCATCAATCTGTAACATGGCTTTACAGGGCACACATGATTTCACTGATCAATCTATTACATCAACACAAGGTCTCGCTGATTGGTCTTTTCCCAAATTAAGTAAACACATTATCAACTGATTCAGTCACAAATAAGAAAATGATTATACACACATGCAGGTGTTAAGATCTTACCTGGCCATCACTAGTGCCCCTCCATGCAGGTGTGAAATGTCTTACCTGGCATTGTGTGAATGTCTTACCTGGCCATTAATAGAGCCCCTCCATGCAGGTTTGAATGTTTTACCTGGCCTTCACTAGTGCCCCTCCATGCAGATGTGAATGTCTTACCTGGCCTTCACTAGAGCACCTGCATTCAGGTGTGAATGTCTTACCTGGCCTTCACTAGAGCACCTGCATTCAGGTGTGACTGTCTTACCTGGCCTTCACTAGAGCACCTGCATTCAGGTGTGACTGTCTTACCTGGCCTTCACTAGAGCACCTGCATGCAGGTGTGACTGTCTTACCTGGCCTTCACTAGAGCACCTGCATGCAGGTGTGAATGTCTTACCTGGCCTGCACTAGAGCACCTGCATGCAGATGTGAATGTTTTACCTGGCCTTCACTAGAGCACCTGCATGCAGGTGTGAATGTCTTACCTGGCCTTCACTAGAGCTGCTGCCTGTACTTTTAATGCTGATCTTGTCTACCTCTTCCGCAGCTCTCCGCATGACACGGATGTCATTGCACTTTGTCACTTCCTGTTCAATGAGAAGCATCTGATGGTCCATGTCTGAGAAATGGAAGTCTGTTGACTGTTCACATACTCGAGCAAAATCTGCAGTTGGACAGAAACACATTTATGACATCCTTTTAATATCTTGACGCTTGGTAACATACGCTTAATGGTAAGTTAAATATCATAAACATCAACATTATTCATGAACGATACTGAACTCATCTCACTCACTTATTAAAACATAATTCCCTATATGAATTCATATGCGATGAAAAATATAGTGAGCAAGTGAGTTCAGTTTTACACAGCTTTTAGCAATATTTCAGCAATATTCCAGCAATATTCCAGCAGCATCACGGCAGGGGACACCAGAAATGGGCTTCACAATTGTACACATGTAGGGAATCAAACCCGGGTCTTCGGCATGACAAGTTAACGCTTTAATCACTAGGCTACCCAACCGTTTCTGAAAAAATATAGCTTTTAGCCAATTCCTTAATTATAATATCTTAATATCATAACAGCAAAAAGATTGTCTCAAATGCACAAACAGAAAATTCTATGCAATAACAGAATGGCAAATGTGAATATCTATCTATACACTGAAACCCAGGTGATCTGTGAAGGGAGTGACCCAAACAGCTTACCAGATGAACCAAATATATAAAAAGAACATTAAAAATGCATGATAGGTAAGCTGATTGTGTATTTTGAAGGGATATTTGACTGGCTAGCAATATGTCGACACAGTGTTACATCCTTTCGATTTTCCACCCACATGAATTATTAACTGATAGATGACAACCCCAGACCACCTTGTGCCCAGGTTGTCCCAGGTTGTCTCTGACAAAGAGGCATCAGTCTGGCCTGCTCATTCCCTGTCCACACTGGAGCACATGTGGTATGTTGTTGGGGAGACAGTGTACACCCAGCACCCTCCAGTAGGCGATCAATACCAAGGGCAACCATTCCCATGTTTATCAAAAGAAAGCCATCAGGTTGATTGGAGGAGATTGGCCATGTGTCTAGAGTTATCTCCCTTCCCCAGTCACATACCAGTACACATACAGTTTCAGCCCTACTTGTCAAGTGTGTTACCTCTCTTGATCCCGGTGAAGGAGTTGAGCCTGTTGTCCACTAGAAGGATAATGGCGCACAGGGAATCGGAGTACAGGGACATGGCTGTCTGCAGCCGCTGTGGCTCTGGGATCATCACACCGCTGAATATAGATATGGAGGTAGTGTAGACAAGGTGACAGGAGGGGTGTGTACAGACAGAGTGTGTGTACAGACAGGGTGTGTGTACAGACAGGGGTGGGTATAGACAGGGGATGGGTATAGACAGGGTGTGTGTATAGACAGGGTGTGTGTATAGACAGGGGTGGGTATAGACAGGGGTGGGTATAGACAGATGGGGTGGGTATAGACAGGGGTGGGTATAGACAGATGGGGTGGGTATATACAGGGGTGGGTATAAACAGGGGTGGGTATAGGAAGGGGGTGACTATAGACAGGGTGTGTGTACAGACAGGGGTGTGTATAGACAGGGAAATGGATATAGACAGGGGGGTGGGTATAGACAGGGGTGGGTATAGACAGATGGGATGGGTATAGACAGATGGGGTGGGTACAGATAGGGGGTGGGTACAGGTAGAGGGAGGGTATAGACAGATGGGGTGGGTATAGACAGGGTGTGAGTACAGAAAGGGGGTTAGTATAGACAGGGGTGGGTATAGACAGGGGATGGGTATAGACAGGGGGTATATACGGGAGGTGGGTATAGACAGGGGTGGGTCTACTGCCCCTTGTTTTGAGAGGGTTAGTTGTGTTCGGGTGAGCTGTTTAGAGAGCCTAAAAAGTGTTCCAGGCATTTTCTACTCCATGGTTGTAAAAACGAAAGAAATTCCATAACTTGAGATGGGATAAGTTCTAAAAATATATACTAATTATTATCATGATAAAGTTGTTACCCAATTGTGTGTGGTCTGTGCCTGCAAAGGTCAAGGACATCCGTGCAGAGCAGACGTAGATTATGGGTGGTTTTCATCTGGGCCCCTGAAAAAAGATTGGTTTCAACTCTTCTGGATATAGCTTTCTACCACAGTTGAATTATGAAAAATCAACTGGACACTATGATGCATAAATATACCCAATTTGTAATTACCATTATATTTTTTTCTTTAAGCAATATTCTAGCAATATCTTAGGGGGACACAAGAAATGCGATTCACTTGTCATCACCCATTTTGTTCTGGGGATGGTCGTGTCATCAATTTTGCACACATGCACTAGGGGGTTTCAGCAATTTTGTACATATGTTTAATATTAACAAATTATGCTTAAAAAATATGGGAAGGGGAGGGGGGGGGCTTCCATTGAGTTTGTACATGACATGCAGGGGGATCACTTACTTTGTACATAAATTTTTGTTGTTTTTTTTGCTTTTGTTTTTGGTGTGTGTGTGTGTGTGTGTGTGTGTGTGTATGTGTGTGGGTGTGTTTGTCTCTCACATTGTCCATGCTTCTCCATTAAAATCCTTACCATAAATTATGAATGGTCCCTTAGGGGTGTTGAGGGAGGAAATGCTCAATGATATCCTGACTGTCAGCATATGAGGGAGGAAATGCTCAATGATATTCTGACTGTCAGCACATCAGGGAGGAAATGCTCAATGATATCCTGACTGTCAGCATATGAGGGAGGAAATACTCAATGATATCCTGACTGTCAGCATATGAGGGAGGAAATGCTCAATGATATCCTGACTGTCAGCATATGAGAGAGGAAATGCTCAATGATATCCTGACTGTCAGCATATGAGAGAGGAAATGCTCAATGATATCCTGACTGTCAGCATATGAGAGAGGAAATACTCAATGATATCCTGACTGTCAGCATATGAGGGAGGAAATCCTCAATGATATCCTGACTGTCAGCATATGAGGGAGGAAATGCTCAATGATATCCTGACTGTCAGCACATCAGGGAGGAAATCCTCAATGATATCCTGACTGTCAGCATATGAGGGAGGAAATGCTCAATGATATCCTGACTGTCAGCACATCAGGGAGGAAATGCTCAATGATATCCTGACTGTCAGCATATGAGGGAGGAAATGCTCAATGATATCCTGACTGTCAGCATATGAGAGAGGAAATACTCAATGATATCCTGACTGTCAGCATATGAGGGAGGAAATGCTCAATGATATCCTGACTGTCAGCATATGAGGGAGGAAATGCTCAATGATATCCTGACTGTCAGCATATGAGGGAGGAAATACTCAATGATATCCTGACTGTCAGCATATGAGGGGGAGGAAATGCTCAATGATATCCTGACTGTCAGCATATGAGGGAGGAAATCCTCAATGATATCCTGACTGTCATATGACTGGAGCATATGAGCATATGAGGAGGAAATACTCAATGATATCCTGACAGTCAGCATATGAGGGAGGAAATCCTCAATGATATCCTGACTGTCAGCATATGAGGGAGGAAATGCTCAATGATATCCTGACTGTCAGCACATCAGGGAGGAAATGCTCAATGATATCCTGACTGTCAGCACATCAGGGAGGAAATGCTCAATGATATCCTGACTGTCAGCACATGAGGGAGGAAATGCTCAATGATATCCTGACTGTCAGCATATGAGGGAGGAAATGCTCAATGATATCCTGACTGTCAGCATATGAGGGAGGAAATACTCAATGATATCCTGACTGTCAGCACATCAGGGAGGAAATGCTCAATGATATCCTGACTGTCAGCATATGAGGGAGGAAATACTCAATGATATCCTGACTGTCAGCATATGAGGGAGGAAATACTCAATGATATCCTGACTGTCAGCATATGAGGGAGGAAATGCTCAATGATATCCTGACTGTCAGCATATGAGGGAGGAAATGCTCAATGATATCCTGACTGTCAGCATATGAGGGAGGAAATGCTCAATGATATCCTGACTGTCAGCATATGAGAGAGGAAATGCTCAATGATATCCTGACTGTCAGCATATGAGGGAGGAAATGCTCAATGATATCCTGACTGTCAGCATATGAGGGAGGAAATGCTCAATGATATCCTGACTGTCAGCATATGAGGGAGGAAATCCTCAATGATATCCTGACTGTCAGCATATGAGGGAGGAAATGCTCAATGATATCCTGACTGTCAGCACATCAGGGAGGAAATGCTCAATGATATCCTGACTGTCAGCATATGAGGGAGGAAATGCTCAATGATATCCTGACTGTCAGCATATGAGAGAGGAAATGCTCAATGATATCCTGACTGTCAGCATATGAGGGAGGAAATGCTCAATGATATCCTGACTGTCAGCACATCAGGAGGAAATGCTCAATGATATCCTGACTGTCAGCATATGAGAGAGGAAATGCTCAATGATATCCTGACTGTCAGCATATGAGAGAGGAAATGCTCAATGATATCCTGACTGAAATGCTCAATGATATATGACTGTCAGCATATGAGGGAGGAAATGCTCAATGATATCCTGACTGTCAGCATATGAGGGAGGAAATACTCAATGATATCCTGACTGTCAGCATATGAGGGAGGAAATGCTCAATGATATCCTGACTGTCAGCATATGAGGGAGGAAATGCTCAATGATATCCTGACTGTCAGCACATCAGGGAGGAAATGCTCAATGATATCCTGACTGTCAGCACATCAGGGAGGAAATGCTCAATGATATCCTGACTGTCAGCACATCAGGGAGGAAATGCTCAATGATATCCTGACTGTCAGCATATGAGGGAGGAAATACTCAATGATATCCTGACTGTCAGCATATGAGGGAGGAAATGCTCAATGATATCCTGACTGTCAGCATATGAGAGAGGAAATGCTCAATGATATCCTGACTGTCAGCATATGAGAGAGGAAATACTCAATGATATCCTGACTGTCAGCATATGAGGGAGGAAATGCTCAATGATATCCTGACTGTCAGCATATGAGGGAGGAAATCATCCTGACTGTCAGCATATGAGGAGGAAATGCTCAATGATATCCTGACTGTCAGCATATGAGGGAGGAAATGCTCAATGATATCCTGACCTGACTGTCAGCATGAGGGAATGCTCAATGATATCCTGATGCATATGAGGGAGGAAATGCTCAATGATATCCTGACTGTCAGCATATGAGGGAGGAAATGCTCAATGATATCCTGACTGTCAGCATATGAGGGAGGAAATGCTCAATGATATCCTGACTGTCAGCATATGAGAGGAGGAATATGCTCAATGATATCCTGACTGTCAGCACATCAGGGAGGAAATGCTCAATGATATCCTGACTGTCAGCATATGAGGGAGGAAATACTCAATGATATCCTGACTGTCAGTCAGCACATGAGAGAGGAAATCCTCAATGATATCCTGACTGTCAGCATATGAGGGAGGAAATGCTCAATGATATCCTGACTGTCAGCATATGAGGGAGGAAATCCTCAATGATATCCTGACTGTCAGCATATGAGGGAGGAAATGCTCAATGATATCCTGACTGTCAGCATATGAGGGAGGAAATGCTCAATGATATCCTGACTGTCAGCACATGAGGGAGGAAATGCTCAATGATATCCTGACTGTCAGCATATGAGGGAGGAAATCCTCAATGATATCCTGACTGTCAGCACATGAGGGAGGAAATCCTCAATGATATCCTGACTGTCAGCATATGAGGGAGGAAATGCTCAATGATATCCTGACTGTCAGCATATGAGGGAGGAAATGCTCAATGATATCCTGACTGTCAGCACATCAGGGAGGAAATCCTCAATGATATCCTGACTGTCAGCATATGAGGGAGGAAATGCTCAATGATATCCTGACTGTCAGCATATGAGAGAGGAAATGCTCAATGATATCCTGACTGTCAGCATATGAGAGAGGAAATGCTCAATGATATCCTGACTGTCAGCATATGAGAGAGGAAATGCTCAATGATATCCTGACTGTCAGCATATGAGGGAGGAAATCCTCAATGATATCCTGACTGTCAGCACATGAGAGAGGAAATGCTCAATGATGCCAGTTGTTCATATTTACAATGTGCTTAACTCTTCAGTAGAAATACGTTGATCACAAACCACAGAAAGTAAGATGTGCTAACCTGGGTCTTTGTACTCTGCTGGTTGAATGCCTGTCTCATTAGCTGATTTGTCAGTTTTGTAATAACAAAAGTCCAGTCATAATGTGCAATGTGACATGATTGAAGCAAATGTTGATCATATATATGTGGACTTTTTGAATACCTGAAATATTTCTCAAAATGTTTTAAAGAACACTGAAAGCAGATGTACAGGGACAGACCGAGATGGATGGTGAAGGACTCCTCAAGCCTGGTAGACGGCGCCTGTCTCTCCTCCTCCTCTGCTGCAGGCAACGCTGTTGACATGTTCCTCAGTCTCTGTCTGCAATGAGGACAAGCGAACGATCATATGATATACAGTTCCTCAATCTCTGTCGTTAAACAAGGCAAACAGACAATTACATGACATATAGTTCCTCAAACTCTGTTTGTAATCACTGCAATAAAACTATTAATATGACATACAGTTTCTAAGTCTCTGCCTGCATCAAGCAAACAACTGTATGACATGTCCCTTCCCAGTTTTGTCGGGAAACAGCGCCACCCGTCTCCCAGCTCCTCACTCTCTCCGTATATCAAGCCCGACACTTAGATTTGCTGGGAAATCCAAAAGTGCCTTGAGAGGAGGTTCGGAGGGCTGACCTCATGAGTCAGGATAAGTATAAAATATCAATTTTACTCAGAAAATTACATATTTTTCCTTATCCTGACTCATGCTATTTTGCTTGTAAATCCCACGGATTTGGTGGTGGGTCAGGCCACTTCTGGATTCCAAGCTTGGTGATTTACGTCCTGCATACCCCCCTATGGGAACTTCATGGTAGCACTGTTAATTTACTGCTAGGTTCTGCTGCCTCTGACCTTGCTTCCAGCTTTCTCTGATCGGGGAACCACAACTTGGCAACTTTTGGTCCTTTCTTCTGTTAACATTATGTGTGGATTTGAGCAACTCCAACCCTTGATGCTTGCATCAAGTGGAGAAGCGACCCTTCATATGTACGAGTACGTCCTTATAAGTACAGGGTCTATCACTCATGCTGGTCTGTCCGTATGTATCATCAGATAAGCATTTTTTAGAATGCTGGTCCAGTGGAGTATGGCGTTTATGACTGCTTTCATCTCTAGCATGTTGATATGCAGACTTTTCTCCTGTAACGTCCATTTCCCAGCTGACACTTCATTGTCGAGGTGCGCTCCCCATCCCTGAAGAGATGTGTCCACGTAGAGATAAGTATTGCACTCCGGCTCTGCTAAGTAGGTCCCTCCGCAAACATTTGATCTCAGAGTCCACCATAGTAGATATGGTTTTAGTCTGTCCGGAAGTCCGAAGGGGTCCGGATCGTCCAGATGGGCATTCACGAAGACCTGGAGTGGGCGTAGGTATAGTCTCCCTCTGCGGGTCATGTCCTGCGCTGACGTGAGGAGACCCAAAAGGCTTTGCCAATCTCGTAGTGGCCACGGAGAGAGTGGAGCTTGAGATACCATGTGTTGTATCTTCAGCCAACGGTCCTCTGGTACTGTTATGCGGTTTTCTGTTGTGATGAGCCGAATTCCTAGGAAGTGCTGGTCCTGTGTAGGCTCTAGTTCCGACTTGAGGAGATTCACCAGCCACCCTAGTCGAGTGAGAAGCCTGATGGTGAAGTCCAGCTGTAGTCTGCGCACTGCGTAGACCTCGATGATGTAGATATGTGATCATGGGCTTTGTCACTCGTGTAAACAACCAGGGGACCGATGATATTCCAAATGGAAGGACTTTCCATTGGTAATGTCGTCCGTCCAGAAGGAATCTTAGGTATTTCCTTGATTCTGGATGTATAGGGATGTGCAGGTATGCGTCCTGTAGATCTCTGCTGGCCATATGGTCCGACGGACGAACGAGATGTAGTAGTTGAGGCAGATGAATCATTCTGAATTTTGCCGGTCTGCGTAAATAATCTCTGTTGAATTTCCTCATGTTGTATATAAGTTGGAACTTTTCTTTGGAGTTTTTCTTTGGTACAAGGAAAACTGGGGAGTAGAACCCTGGTGAGATCTGGTCCTGATCACTTCTATAGCGTCCTTCTCTAGTAGAGATGTGACAGCTTCGCGCAGCCTCTCTATCCGATGGGCCGCGATGTTGAAGCCCTGAGGTCTGTCCGTCAATGGAGGGGCTGCTTGTAGTTGTATTTGATATCCTGCGCGCAGCATGTTGGGTACAAATTGGTCCTGAAGAATTCCCCAGTTCTCCCAGTAGCTTTGTAGACGTCCACCCACTTCGGAAGGTTGTACAGGAACGGCTCGGGGTGGAAGACTCCAGTCGTTCCAAACCCGGCCTTCATCGTCTAGAGCCTCTGGCACCTCTGGGTGCCCTTCCTCGTCTGGATCGTCCTCTATAGGTCCCGGATGAGCGACGAAAAGAGTCCTTTCCTCCTCTGGAGGTCCCATATTTCTTTTCTCTTGCTCTTTGGATGCCTGCAAATTTAGATTTGCCGGAGTAGCGTTGGGACGTCTGCCTGATGACACTGGCTAGGGTATCAATAGACTTTATTATCATCACCTCCCTGGATTCCTTCGTGACTTCCTTGGCAACCTCGTCAATCTCTCCCGCGAAGACCGATGTTGTAGACCACGGCGCTCTATAAAGTGTCTTAGTAAAGCGTTCGCTCCAGATGCATGAAGACAAAAGTCCCTGTCTTCTGGCTAGCGTCAATGCTGCTGATATGGATGCCAAATGCTCCGACATAAACTGGTGGTCCTTTTTCTGCGTTAGTAAGGCAGAATAAATCATCCGGTCCTCCGCCGAAGTTGAGTTCCTGAGCTGGTAAGTCCGAAGAAGGTCCGCCTGGTCATAGTGTCTATCTGTGCCAGCTTTTTGTCATCAATCTTATAAGATTTGGTCCGGGAGTTGTTGATGATTTTATAGTTCTCATCTATCTCTGGTGCCTTCATGAAGGGGTCCATATTATGTAGTGAGAACTTCTTTGCATTGAACTGCGGAATACTTGGGGCCTGGAATTTTGTTGCCTTCCTGAAGGCTGCATCAAGGTCCTCAGGTACGTCCGAGACAGGGTCAATTGGTAGGGTGATGGTGTCCGTGAGTGCTTCATTCTCCTCCTTAGAGGGTGAAGCCAGATCCAGTCCATTAGCCATCCAATACTTGATCTCTGAATCGGAAAATATGATTCCGCCATCGTCCTCTGTATCATGTCCAGTTGAATATCATCGCTGAAAGTCCTCCGTGCATGGAGATCTGCATGGAGACCTTCGTGGAGACCTGCGTCGAGATGTTGACGTTCTAGATGACCTTCCCGAAGACCTGCGCGCAGGTGAGTGATTCTGATGAGGGTCAGAGTCCTGAGATGCCTCTCTGCACCTTCTCGGAGGTGTAAGTTTCCTTCTCTGCATTGTAGATTCCCTGCGTGAAGGTCCTTCATAATTCTCATCCTCAGATGACTATCTATTTAGGTCCGGTGAACGTTCATTCCTCCTTTGTGCAGGTTCGTTCGAGTCGTGCAGAGCAGGTCTATCCTTAGTCCGAGTGCTAGTTCCTCTAGCAGACATCACAGGCGCACAACCAGTGTGGGGTCCTTCATGCAGCAATGGTCCCTCACGCAGGTTGATGACTTGAGCATGAGAGCCACCTGGCTGTCCATCATGCAAGGTCCTTTCCTGCGCGAACCGTTTCTCCATCAGGTCCATCATCTGTTGGGAGAATTGCTGCATAAAGGTCCCGGGGTTGAACGACTGCGACGACTGTTGTAGTGACGAAGCATCTGAGAGGGTAGCGATATGGTCCAAGGATCGCTGTACCTCATGGGTCCGTGATGTCTGCGTTAAGGGTATCTCGGACTGCGTAGATAAGGTAGCTGACGTTACCATAGCTGAGGCTTTCAACTTCTTTTTAGGCAATACTTCTGGGATGAGGATAGGAGGTTCGTCGTATATGCCTATTTCATCAATCGGGACGATCTCAGTAGAAAAGGTCCTGGTAATTTGTGATGAACCCCCAGAAGACTTCGATGAAGGCTTAACTGCAGAGGGCTTCTTCTGAGATGAAGATGGCCTCTTCTTCTTAGTATGCACTGAGGAGTTGTCCGAAGTAGACGATCTCTTCCTCAATGTAATGGAGGTCTCTATCCCATGACCATCTTCCGATGACGCCTCCGGAAGATCACTAGAAGGAAGCATCTCGTCTGACAGCAACAACCGGTTCCTTAAAGACTCAGCCGGTTAAGCCATGACTTGCAACAGCCGTCTGGATCTATCCTTAGCACGTCTAAGCAGAGAAAATTGATAATTATTAAAATCAAAATCTGATAAATGCTGACAAATATTACAGCGAGAGCTGGAAGTACATGTTGTTGTGCAACTTGGGCATTATAAGTGCGGGTCTGCAGCAGAGAACCTAAACCTGCAACGAAAACAGGTTTTCATGAAATGTAAACAAACTGAACAATCACGTAAAAACGTGAATAAACGTAAATTTCAAGGCATATTGTAGAAGGATACTCCCTGAAACCTTATACAGGTAATTTAGAGGGTAATATCTAAGTTAGAAAAGGATATAGTGCCGTATAGGAGACCCAGGTGCTCTCCCAACCGTCCACTAGGGCGAAGAAGGAGAGAGTGAGGAGCTGGGAGACGGTGGCCCCGTTTCCCGCCAAAACTGGGAAGGGACATAACTTTTGGTGAGTAGTGATTTTACGTCTGCTTTTTTGAAGGGAGCTTCAAAAAGGGGATTCAAGTGTTCCACTAACGTTCGCAAGGAGAACAAGACAAGCAAAATAGCATGAGTCAGGATAAGGAAAAATAATATTTATCAGGGCCCCATTGCACAAAGCGATCTCAGCGCTACGACTATCATAAGTCTATGTTAAAGTATGGTAATCATGATCATCTTGACACTGAGATAGGCTTATGGAACAGGGCCCAGAACAACTTAGATCTAGATCGAGATTCTGCAAACTTTGCCCAGTTCTTGAGGAATCACGTGACATCTTCCACTGTATCATAACCACACAGCATATATCTGTCTGTCAACTTGGAGAGTACATAGAGAAATAGATATCACTAATATTTTTTTGTACTTGGACATTGTGTGTTTTCGGACGGGTGGATGAAAATGTAATTCTTATGATAAGTTAGATATATAGGCAGACATCTATGAGCGGTAGCTTGTATAAGGACGAGAGTTATCCCCCAACCGTCTGATAGGGCAAAAATGGAGAGAGTGATACATAGCCAGTGATCACTTGGGAGGCTGGCGCGGGAAGGAGAGCTATTTTTAGACTGTCCATTAGGGAACAATAGGTTAACATTCTGAAACCTTCATAGTGTCGTCATGACCCTACAAATTATGTGAAGGTCACCATAATTGACTGGGCCCTGGGCCTGCCCTAGATGAAGCTTGGTGTCAAATATGAAGAAAATCCACTGAATATGTTTTGCGATATCTTGCTGACTATCTTAACAAGCAATTTAACATGCTGAAATCTTCAAAGTGTCTCTGTGACCTTGAAACTTAAGTGAAGGTCACCAAAATCGACTGGGCCCTGCGCCATCCCTGGATGAAGCTTGGTGTCAAATATGAAGAAACTCCAGTGAATGGTTCTTGAGATACCTCGCTGACAAGCATAACATGTAGTTTAATATGCTGAAATCTTCAAAGTGTCTCTGTGACCTTGAAAATTAAGTGCAGGTCACCAAAATTGACTGGGCCCTGCGCCTTCCCTGGATAAAGCTTGGTATTGAATATGAAGAAAATCCAGTGAACGGTTCTTGAGATAGCTTAACATGCAGGTAAAACGTGAAAGTCCCCTTGTGACCTTGAAATGAAGGTCAAGGTCACCAAACCTGATTTGGACCTTTCTTATAGTGTGATGAACCCAGGTACCAAATATGAAAAGAATCTAGTGAACGGTTCTTAAAATATTCCAATTACGTACATACGGACATACGTACGGATGGAGCCTAATACTATATAAGACGATATTAAGACGAGTGGAAGATGGACTCACTGGTAGGCGGGAGCACCATTGTTGGAGGTTGAGTCTTCGTGTACCTTCATCACCCAGTCCCGATACTCGCGCTTCTGTGTCTCGTGGACGTTACTCAGCTCACTCATCCACTTGCTGTTGATCAACTGAAACAATCATTTACTGGCATATTGAAGGGGGAATAATAAACAGTGACACTTCTACTGAACACTGGAGCATAAACAGACTGTAAGTATCATTCTTAATAACTTCACTCTCAACTGATTCTGTACAGAAAAATTGTATACAGTTAGTGATCTACAAAAAGATTGGGATTGTGAATACTTTTAAGGATATCTTTTAGCTTTTAACTCTGATTGTCGTAAAATTATTGCCAAAAATATTCATGAACTTTTTTGCTGATACTTCTGGACCAAAATAATTGAGGTCGACTGAGTGACCCATGACAAAGTTATCTATAAGTAACACAGTTGTTCCTACATCTGTGAACCTCAAGAATAATGAGACCATGTCATGATGGACGATGCATGTCTCACCATGACTGGCCATTACTGAGTCTATCAAGCTCACAATGCTTTCATTTCCCTATTAGTACAGGATACAACTAAAGTCACTCAGTCATTTTCCTATTAGTACAGCATACAACTAAAGTCACTCAGTCATGGGGCGGTGGGGTAGCCTAGTGGTTAAAGTGTTGGCTCGTCACGCCGTAGCCCCGGGTTCGAATCCCACATGGGTACAATGTGTGAAGCCCATTTCTGGTGACACCCGCCGTGATGTTGCTGGAATATTGCTAAAAGCGGAATAAAACCAAACTCAGTCAGTCAGTCAGTCAGTCAGTCACTCAGTCATTTCCCTATTAGTACAGCATACAGCTAAAGTCACTCAGTCATTTCCCTATTAGTACAGCATACAACTAAAGTCACTCAGTCATTTCCCTATTAGTACAGCATACAACTAAAGTCACTCAGTCATTTCCCTATTATAACAAATATAATATGTTACTTGTGTATTCTCGAAATGTCTTTGTGCGAGAGTGTTGATGTCCTCGTCTGCATATGATGCACCAACATTCTTCAGTGCCTGTTCCATGTCTTCCTGCTGCCTGCAAGCAACAAGACACATGTACAACTATACACATGTACAACAATACACATATGACAACACATGTACAATAAACATATAAATGACAACATTCATACAACACACACATGTACAACTATACAAACTGTGTAAACTGCCCATTTTAGAACTAAGCATTGGTTCTTTGTTTGTTAATCTACAATAACTCAAATCTTGGTGTGATCTTGACAGGGAACCTCAAAATAATACCAGCCATTCATATTGATAAATATTCCTCAGAAACATCTAATAGACTTCAAGAGAAGGTATCTGGATATCCAACTACACTATTAGATGGACCACCTACTACACAAGTAAGATGGACCGCCTACTACACAAGTAAGATGGACCACCTACTACACAAGTAAGATGGACCACCTACTATACAAGTAAGATGGACCACCTAATACACTAGGGAGACATTATCTACAGTGAAGAGACTGACTCTTGATTCCCCTCGGAGGCGGACCACCTACCACACTAGTAAGATGGACCACCTAATACACTATAAGATGGACCACCTACTACACTATTAGATGGACCACCTACCACACTAGCAAGATGGACCACCTACTACACTATTAGATGGACCACCTACTACACAAGTAAGATGGACCACCTAATACACTATTAGATGGACCACCAACCACACAAGTAAGATGGACCACCAACCACACAAGTAAGATGGACCACCTACCACACAAGTAAGATGGACCACCTACCACACAAGCAGGATGGACCACCTACCACACAAGTAAGATGGACCACCTAATACATAAGTAAGATGGACCACCTACTACACAAGTAAGATGGACCACCTACTACACTATTATATTGACCACCTACTGCACAAGTAAGATGGACCACCTAATACACAAGTAAGATGGACCACCAACCACACAAGTAAGATGGACCACCAACCACACAAGTAAGATGGACCACCAACCACACAAGTAAGATAGACCACCTACTACACTATGAGATGGACCACCTACTACACAAGTAAGATGGACCACCTACCACACAAGTAAGATGGACCACCTACTACACTATAAGATGGACCACCTACCACACAAGTAAGATGGACCACCTACTACACTATGAGATGGACCACCTACCACACTAGTAAGATTGACCACCTACCACACAAGTAAGATGGACCACCTACCACACAAGCAGGATGGACCACCTAATACACAAGTAAGATGGACCACCTAATACACAAGTAAGACGGACCACCTAATACACAAGTAAGATGGACCACCTACTACACTATTAGATGGACCACCTACCACACAAGTAAGATGGACCACCTAATACACAAGTAAGATGGACCACCAACCACACAAGTAAGATGGACCACCAACCACACAAGTAAGATGGACCACCTACTACACTATGAGATGGACCACCTACCACACAAGCAGGATGGACCACCTACCACACAAGTAAGATGGACCACCTACTACACTAGTAAGATGGACCACCTACCACACAAGTAAGATGGACCACCTACTACACTAGTAAGATTGACCACCTACCACACTAGTAAGATGGACCACCTACCACACTAGTAAGATGGACCACCTACCACACAAGTAAGATGGACCACCTACCACACAAGTAAGATGGACCACCTACAACACTGGGGAGACACTATCTACAGTGAAGAGACTGACTCTTGATTCCCCTCGGAGGCTGACCACCTACATGGTATCAAGATGCTGCAGGTCCTTGTCACGCTGGTCCGTCAGGTCCTCGACAGCCAGGGCATACGTGTGTTCCAGGTTGAGCAGTGTTTCCAGGGCGGGGGAGTGGATCAAGGTATGGTACACCTCGGAGAACACCTGGTCGTTGGTCACCTCCACCGGGGTCGAGTATGCCTTCACTTCCTGTAAACAGTGAGTGAACGAGTTGGGAAAGTATTTCATATGTTTCATATTAAAAAACAGGTTTTCTTGAAGGTAAACGAATGCACCTCAATGAGTTATACAACAGGGCGAGTGTGGTTCAGAATATTCAGCCACATCACAGTATGACAGTTCAGAGGAAGGAAAACGGTTGCCCTGTGATCTGGACAATGTGAATCTGGGGGTCGTCAGTCATGGTCAGCAGTGCAAAATATTTACAGCTTTCGCAGAGAGAGGCGGTGTCCATGTCCAGACAAGATATCCCAGACATCACAATCAGACATTCAAGTCATGAACACATGTCAGACAGCCACGTTTGTCCCTACCATGGTTCATCAAACCACAGAGTATCAGATTGTAACTTTAACACCACATGCCAAATACAATCTTACAGAACAGTCCATACTTTCAGTCTATTTTAATGCACAATATGGATCGATTTTATTGAACACTATGGGTCTACCTATAACTACACTATGGATGTATTTTATGGAACACTACAGATCTATTTCATTGAACACTGCATAACTATTTTATTGAATACCGCAGATCTTTTTTCATGAACACTCCAGATCAATCATATTGAACACTGAAAACATATTTTATGGAACACTGCAGATGTATTTTAATGAACACTGCAGATCAATTATATTGAACACTGCCAACCTATTTTATTGAACACTGCCGATCTATTATTGAACACTACAGATCTATTTTATTGAACACTGCAGATCAATGATATTGAACACAGCAAACCTTATTTAACACTGCATAACTATTTTATTGAACACTGCAGATCTATTTTATTGAACTCTGCAGATCTATTTTATTGTACACTGCAAACCTATTTTATTGAACACTGCAGATACTGCAGACCTATTTTATTGAACACTGCAGATTTATTATATTGAACACTACAGATATATTTTAATGAACACTACAGATCTGTTTCATTGAAAACGGCAGCACCATGCGGTGTATAATCACCTTGCAGCTAATTTTGAAAGTCTATATTTCATTGATGGCTGAACTCAGTTTGTTCACTATAGCTCAGTCTCTGTTTAACTGTTTTAGGGTCTGAGTGATCATCTCCCTTTGTCAACATGATAGGGACCTAGGGAGCTTAATATGGCGAAAACAGTGTGCTGTACACCTTGAAATACAAGAACCAAGCAGGATAAGTCTGCAAGGGGAAACCACTCCTGCGGTCTTACAGAAACACTGGCTTTAGTCAACAACTGACTGTATAAGCATCACTCTGAAATATTGCAGCTACATACCCACGATTGCTGGTGTACAATGTCACACAGAAAAATGTACTGATGTCACACAATCAGCCAGGTCTCATACAGAAACACCCTAATGTCACACAAACATGTCACACACAGAAACACCCTAATGTCACACAAACATGTCACACACAGAAACACCCTAATGTCACACAAACATGTCACAAACAGAAACACCCTAATCTCACACATGTCACACAGAGAAACACCCTAATGTCACACAAACATGTCACACACAGAAACACCCTAATGTCATACAAACATGTCATACGCAGAAACACCCTGTCACACAAACATGTCACACGCAGAAACATCCTAATGTCACACACAGAAACACCCTAATGTCACACAAACATCCCACACAGAGAAACAACCTGATGTCACACAGACATTCACAGAAAGAAATATCCTGATGTCACACAATATACCATGTCACACACAGAAATATCCTGATGTCACACAGACTGCCAAGTCACACACAGAATCAACCTGATGTCACACAATCTGCCATGTCACACACAGAATCAACCTGATGTCACACAATATGCCATGTCACACACAGAAATATCCTGATGTCACACAATATGCCATGTCACACAGAAATATCCTGATGTCACACAATCTGCCATGTCACAAACAGAATCAACCTAATGTCACACAATCTGCCATGTCACACACAGAATCAACCTGATGTCACACAATATGCCATGTCACACACAGAAATATCCTGATGTCACACAATAGGCCATGTCACACAGAAATATCCTGATGTCACACAATCTGCCATATCACACACAGAATCAACCTGATGTCACACAATATGGCATGTCATACACAGAATCAACCTGATGTCACACAATATACCATGTCCCACATAGAAATATCCTGATGTGACACAATATGTCATGTCACACACAGAAATATCCTGATGTCACACAATATGCCATGTCACATACAGAATCAACCTCAAGTCACACAATATGCCATGTCACACACAAAATCAACCTGATGTCACACAATATACCAAGTTACACACAGAAATATCATGTCACACAATATGCCATGTCACACAGAGAAATATCCTGATGTCACACAATATGCCATGTCACATACAGAATCAACCTGATGTCACACAATATGCCATGTCACACACAAAATCAACCTGATGTCACACAATATACCAAGTTACACATAGAAATATCCTGACGTCTCACAATATGCCATGTCACACACAGAATACACATGATGTCACACAACATGCCATGTCACACACAGAAATATCCTCATGTCACACAATATGCCATGTCACAAACAGAATCAACCTCATGTCACACAATATGTCATTTCACACATAGAAATATCCTGATGTCACACAATATGCCATGTCAACACGCAGAAACAACCTGATGTCACACAGACATTCACAGAAAGAGATATCCTGATGTCACACAATATGCCATGTCACAAACAGAATCAACCTAATGTCACACAATATGCCATGTAACACACAGAATAAACCTAATGTCACACAATATGCCATGTCACACACAGAAATATCCTGATGTCACACAATATGCCATGTCACACACATAAATATCCTGATGTCACAGAATATGCCATGTCACAAACAGAAACAACATGATGTCGCACAGACATTCACATAAAGAGATATCCTGATGTCACACAATATGCCATGTCACACAGAATCAACTTGATGTCACACAATATGCCATGTCATACACAGAAATATACTGATGTCACACAATATGCCATTTCACACATAGAATCAACCTGATGTGACACAATATGCCATGTCACACACAGAAATATCCTGATGTCACACAATATACCATGTCACACAGAAATATCCTGATGTCACACAATCTGCCATGTAACACAGTATAAACTTGATGTCACACAATATACAATGTCACACACAGAAGTATCCTGATGTCACACAATATGCCATGTCACATACAGAATCAACCTGATGTCACACAATATGTCATGTCACACAGAGAAATATCCTGATGTCACACAATATGCCATGTCACACACAGAAATATCCTGGTTTCACACAATATGCCATGTCACACACAGAAATATCATGTCACACAATATGCCATGTCACACACAGAAACAACCTGATGTCACACAGACATTAACAGAAAGAAATATCCTGATGTCACACAATATGCCATGTCACACACAGAATAAACCTGACGACACACAATATGCCATGTCACACACAGAAATATCCTGATGTCACACAATATGCCATGTGACACAGAAATATCCTGATGTCACACAATATGCCATGTCACACACGGATATATCCTGATGTCACATAATCCCTCATGTCACACACAGAAATATCCTGATGTCAAACAATCTGCTGTCACACAGAGAAATATCCTGATGTCACACAATATGCCATGTCACACACAGAAATATCCTGATGTCACATAATCCCTGATGCCACACACAGAAATATCCTGATGTCACATAATCCCTCATGCCACATACAGAATCAACCTGATGTCACACAATATACAATGTCACACACAGAAATATCCTTATGTCACATAATCACTCGTCACACACAGAAATATCCTGATGTCACATAATCACTCATGTCACACAGAAATATCCTGATGTCACACAATATGCCATGTCACACACAGAAATATCCTGATGTCACACAATATGAAATGTCAGACACAGAAACATCAAGATGTCACACAATCTGCCAGGTCACAAATAGAAATATCCTGATGTCACACAATATGTCACGCACAGAAATATCGTAATGTCACATTATATGCCACGTCACAAACTGCCCACCTGAGTAAAAGCCTTTGTCCATCTCTTTGCAAGGTCAGCAGATGACACATGCCCTGTTTGGACCTTCAGGATAGCCTCATCAGCTCTGGCATCACTCAGCTTTTGAGTTTCCTTGGAAACAAACTCAGTGAGGGCTGCTGTCAGGTCTGAAAAGAACATGTCTGACTGACTAACTGAGTTTTGGTTTTACGCCGCTTTTAGCAATATTCCAGCAACATCACGGCAGGGGACACCAGAAATGGGCTTCACACATTGTGAGCATGTGGGGATTCGAACCCGGGTCTTCGGCGTGACGAGCCAACGCTTTAACCATTAGGCTACCCCACCGCCCCGAAAAGAACATGTATCCAATATTTGACTTTATTAATATTAACAATAACACAACATCAATTAAAGAAAACCATGTGTCTCACCATCTTCCACATAACAAGGCAGGTTATGTGCGCTGACAAGTCGGCCCACAAACTCACTGACAGATGTTGATAGAGGAATTGTAACTGGCACTGTCACTGTTGACTTCAAGTTCTTGCTCAGAAAAGTATACACAAAATCTCTCTCTTCGGTGTGGTCCTTCATTTTCAGCTCTTTACTCTGGAAAAAATAATGCATATCAAGAATATGATTATTTATTAATTGAAAATGGACCCTATTTAAAAATGTGACTGATCAGAACTTAAGAATATTTATTTCAATTTGGTTGATGGTTAGCAAAACAAGTTTCAATTTTGTGTGAATGTTTTTTGGATATATGAGGGGATGCTCAAACTATTGCAGTTCTCACACATGATTCAGCACATTGAGAAAACCAATCAGACAAGCTGACAAGGTAATGGTATCATCTAACGGATGACTCTATGCCCTACTACAATCTGGGCGTTTGACTGCAAAATGGGGTTCAATCAGATGGTTCAGTGAAAGCAGCATAAATCCTTACACAACTGACCCTAAGAAAGAGTTGTGTGAGACCACTCTAATCTGCACCCAGTAAACTGCAACATAACCAATGAACATACCAATATAAAATATTAATACTGTTATTTTTCAAATAAAATTCATCGAATATTTAAAACCATTGACCATTCACGACACTGGTAGGGAAAATGTCAACCGCCCACTTGTACCAACCTCTGAATCGTGTGATAATAAATTCACTTTGACAGTATTTCAATGACAATCACCGATACCAGTGGCATTTGATACACTCGCACAGTGGCTTTCAAACATGGACAAAATACACGTCTCTACACCTTACATCTGACAACTACACTTTGCTTGGTTACATCACTTCCAACGTGAAATATGAGATACACAAATACGGAAATGGGAGGTTTGTTGTGGGCGCTGACATTTTGTATACAGGATGCTGGGAAACCTGAAAGGAAGTAGGTCAGAGGTCACCCACGGACTGCGATGGAGGAAAGTCGGTCACCGACGGGTGAGATTCATGCCCCCGTCCCACAAGGTAAGATCGCACACATAACTCGTTACCACTTTAGGACCACACTGGAATATGCTTGTATGGCTAACCCAGAAAATTATAATGACATTCGCTGTGTTTTCTCAGACTTAGCCGGGTATGTTTGTTGCAGACGTGCCAGCCGCACTTGTGCCTGCTTTGTTCCAGAAATAGGTCAGTCCCTCCGTGAATATCTAATGTGAAAATTTTTCCATATCACATCATTATAAAATAATATCACGGGCACTGTGTTGTTGCTAACAGCTTTTGAAAGTGAGACCAGTAAATAGGAGTGACGATCTGGACTTGGGGATTTGGAATTGACAACGATTTCGGTCGAAGTCTGGGAAGCTAGGTCATAGAAGTGAACTGGGTCATTGCGAGTAGATTCTAGAGCTCTCAAGGTGGGGTATCGTGTCATACCGCACGGGCATATTTATCACATTTAAACGTTTTTGGCATTATACAACAACAAAACTACAATATGGCCTGAACTTTCATTTTTAATGATTTGTGTATTAGCTATTTTGGTCGCTGTCACTAAGTTGGTTTTCTAATCGGGACATTCAGAGTTTGACCTGTTTAACGGTGACATTGATCGTAGCGACTGTTCGGACGGACGATTGACATGATTACGCCGGCCGAGCCCACACGGGCTGCAACAACAGCCATGTCACTCTGACCCCACAGGAGAAAATAGCGATATTCAGAAATTGGTCTACGTTGCTTAGATATTTACTGACATGTGTGTTTTGTGCCATATGTAGTCTCCGATTTAGACCTACTTTCCTAATGTGTCAAAATCTGGGTTAGCTCTCATGGATACGCTCTAAATACTTGATACAAATAACTGCCTTACTGGGATTTCTGAAATATATTCATCAGTTATTAATATGGTATTTTATGTGGAAAACATACACAAAATTGTTGTTTGAAGTTTACCAGAGATGTTTATACCACCAGAATACTCCAAATGTGTAATAAGTTGAGGGAGGTACGTGTATGTAAAGGTAACTTCAAATATATACCATTTATCAATCCCCTATGCAAAGGTATTGTTTAGAACATTTTTGTTACCAACAATTTGATTGACCTAATCTGGCCTAATTTCCATGGTGGCATGTTGAGTGTGAGTCAAGTGTTAGTCATGCACTGTATCCTGACAAACATCATGTCTGTCTGTCATACAGTTGTCGCTTGCATCACTGCATGAAAAATGTATTGTTTCTGCAGATATAAGTTAGTCGATGCTAAATTAATGATTTGGAAATTGCTTTACGTTTTTTAGTTTCTACAGGTGACTGACATTGATTATTTCTGTTAATTTTGTTATTTTAACTGTCAAACTATATTTACTATTTCTGTTCATTCGTTATATTTTAAAGCAGATTTGTTTCTACAAAATATCGAACATCTGAGTAGTTGTAGTCGAACTTTTACACAGGAAGTTACACACATGTCAACAGGAGTGTATTAATTGTTGTAATATAGTGTCTGGGTTTTCTCCTTATTTGATCTTTGTTTGCTGTTAACACTGCATACAACAATATTTCTGCTACATGAGAGCAGTATGAAATTAGTAACAACTTACAATTGTTTTTCATGATTGACATTATGAACATTAATCTACACAATTGGGGTATAATGGCATCAGTCTACCAAGTGTACAATTCTGACCGCCTGATCCCATTAGTCGTCTTACAACAAGCATGGATTGCTGAAGACCAATTCTAACCCAAGTCTTCATGTTTAAAGACCACAAGTATACTGAGAGGAGATGAGATCTAACACTTTGTAATACATGAGCAGTGGTCTTCTCAACATTGCTGATACTAATGACATGCCTTGAACAACATGCCTGAAATATTGCTGATGGATGTTCTCAATATCACAACAATTTACAGACCACATTAAACCATGTCCTACTTTATGCACAACTGTTTTCAATTATAACCGTTGAAGGGCAGAACTGTAGATATTTCACCACTGATGACTGCTGTGATGCATGTTAGCAATACATAACATTAGGTTAGATTTTCTGTAACACGATCTATGAAAATGGCATGAAGGTAATACCTTTTATGATGAATATTCCTGATCAGGTTATATACAATCATTCAGTTGGTTATACAGCTCTAGCTAAATTCTCATGTAATAAAATATAAAAAAGCATAATTGTTTCACAAAAATCATCCAATGTTAGCGTTATCATTGCTAGACTCATCAAATTAGACAAACTGAATTACTGTTAAACATTCCATCATGTTGCCGTCCAAGTTGTTGATGATTATGTGTTATAATGTTCGAATCTACCTGAATTTGATTGCAAGCTGCTACGTGATAGAGTAAACCCACTTTAATGTGTCAGAACAGATTGTGACATGAAACATCAGAGTGTTGGGGCCTCGTAGGATCAGTTATAAGAATTCTATTTGATTTGGGAAACTAATCCTACATAATAACATTTATCATTATTACCCTCAATATCTGTGCTGTGCAAGGATATCAGTCGTAAACTAATGGCAATCCCAACAGGGATATTATCTATAAATAGAATTATGAGAACAAATAACAGGCTTCGTATTAATAATGCAAAGACATGCAGGAAGCAGTCTGTCTGACATGCATGAGAAGAACTTGTGAAACTGAGATGTGAATGTGTAAAGGTGGGAGGAAATCGGCATGTGTTCAATGTCAAAGTCGCAGGTACTGAATGTGTGAGTTGATGTACATCAAAGTGGCCATTTGATTGTTTTAAACCCACATTCAGGAAGCTAATCAGAACAGAAGTTCAGAAATGTGGCAGTGACTGTTGTCCACTACAGAAGAACTACTGATAACTCTCTACATGATGGACTGGAAACTGAAGGAAGTATTGCTGGGACTGTGGGATACGACAAATAAAGTTGAAATTAAAACTGATATTCTGATTTGTTAATATTTGGGAAGACAGCAAACAGCCAAAATTGCTTTCTGAGCTATTAAAATGTTTTGATGTCTGGCTACTGCTGATGTTTTACAAAAAGTGTGTGATCTCTGTCTGGCAAATCACTGCAGACATAAGTAACCTCTCATGCTGGTGTCAGGACAAATTGGGGCATAACGTCCAACTTATATATGTACACCAGCCGGTTGTTTGACAATTTATGGCAGGAGTTAGTGATGAAGAATTGTGAAATGAGTAAGGAGGCAAGACTTGATTTGCAAGGAATTTCTTCTCACATCTTAGACTCATTTTCTCTAATTATTCAGATTTTGTAAATGTCTCTCCAATGGTGTCTCTTTATTGTGTCATGAATAGCAACAAAGGGCTTAAATTGAGCATATTTCAACTTATAATTATTCTATTTGATTAAGATGAAATTTTGTGAAGCTTCTTCTGTTTTCCAGAATTAATAGTTGTGACTGAGACATCGGGAACATTGCCCAAACCATACCTTTTTGTCAATTGAATTAGATTAAAATGCTGATTATATTTTGGTAATCTTTGAAACACTGATATAGGAGGAATAGGTGTATACTTGATTACATAAGGTTTCAAACTTTCAACTGAAGCAACAGAATACTTGGAACCTACCAGGCTTATCCCTGAGTTGTGTTCAATCAAGTTGGATATCTTCAATTGATGGATGTCTGTGTGGCTGCAAATAGACCTACACAGGTCACCATGACATTTTAAGATATGTTATCAAATGCTTCTCAGGCTTATTTATTTTAAGTGTGCAGAATTCAAGTTTGACGTGTTACTGTTTGCCTTAAGGTATACTGACTAAATATACTGTCTGGAGCACATTTCTTTTCCATTTGAATTGATCTTTCTGTTATAGATTTTAACTGTTGTGTGATTTTATCACATTGTAACACTATATACAAGTAAACAGGCATGGAATAACCAGTTATCTAATGTCCAATAATTAACTCATATTCTTTTTAATATCAACAGGATCGATGTTCACCATAACTGTCAAACATGACTGCTTGGTTTGGGATATTGATAAACCAACCGAAGATAAATATATTTCACTTTTTGAAGCTTAGTCATATGAGATGCCTGTGGTGTTATTCCATGAAATATTAACGGGTCAGTTGGGACGAGTACATACACAATACCCTTCCTGCAGTGTAGGCAAGAGGCCAACAGGCTTAGCCTTTGTCTGTTCGATCTGAGGTCGATGTGACACTCACACAATTACTTGCTTGTAAAACAGAAGGCGTTATAGTCAGTGCTGTAGGCTAAGACTGTTATATATGTTATTCCATGTGGTGTAAGGCATGATATAAGACCCTTTTAACCATTGATTGTAGTCATTATACTTTTCCTCACATTCTCAGAATTTGAGCAAATGTGGCTAACTGAATGAAAATATGTGCTTTCCCTGGCTATGATATGAGATGAGCATGTTATTAACCACTGAAATTATTGAAGCCTTGAGACTGAGAGAATTCTCCCACCCCCTCGGTATCTTAGCAACAACACCCGCTTGTTGAAAGATGCAAGGATTTTGTTCATGGATGTCATGATGATGTCATTAAGTAGTTGAAAATAGAATACCATGAATATTGCAATTGTTATTTTCCTATATATTCTTCATATTTCATTTTCATGGACAAGTTTGTTAATAATTCCTTTAAGTCACGATAAATATCTTATTAGATTTTCATTCAAAATTTTAATAACTGTGAGGCAGGAGGCTTTTTATTTTGTTGTTGTTGGATAATAGTGTCCAAGGCGTATTTATGAGTGAAGTGTCAATGTTTCTATGAATGAAGCACGTGTAATTAGTATTCTGTGTGCACAGTGAGTGAGTTGAGTTTTACGCTGCACTCGGCAATATTCCAGCTATATGGCGGCAGTCTGTAAATAATCGAGTCTGGACCAGACAATCCAGTGATCAACAGCACAAGCTTCGATCTGCGCAATTGGAAACTGATCACATGTATCAACCAAGTCAGCACGCCTGACCACCCGTTCCCGTTAGTCGCCTCTTACATCAATCATGGGTTACTGACGATCAAAATTCTAACCCGGAACCTTACGGGTTTACTGCTGAATGGGGTAGGTTATCAAGTACAGAAATAGGTAAAACATATTGATTGTAGTTCTACTTGATGTAGTGCCACATGAACATTTGTGGTAGAACTTGTCATCAGCACCCCGTACTTGTCGTAAGGGG